CAATATCCATATCATCTCTTATAGACATATTTTCATCTGTAAGCGCACCTATCTCTTCTTTATTTTCACAACTTCGTCTTTAATATTTATTTCTTTCACTTCATTTCTGAGTTCACATATTTCGTTCTTGAAAGATTGATAGACATAATCAAGTCGGACATATCGCCTGTCGATTGTTGTGGTTCTGTATAGATTAGTTGGCCCGTACTCGACAATTGGCTTTGCCTTGTTGTTGGGCCTGGATTAGACTCCACATCGCTACATAATAACAATAGTACATTTGCAAATAAAAGCATACTCAAAGTCATATTTCTGATTTTAAGTCCTGGCGATTTGAATTTCTTACAAGCTATTCTATGATGATACAATCCTATAATCATTCTCCAGTTTGCAATATCAGTTCCCATTTTTTCCACAATAGTTTATAGTCAAAGAATATTAATCCGATATAGAGAAATAACAGTTTAAAATCCGCGGTTTATCAACTAATGGTAGAGATCACTGGAGTGTGGAGCAGTCTTGAATTGTGAGCATGGATTCTGAAATGAAAACTGGTGAAAGTATCAAAACTAATTATTTTTTATGTTTTAATTGATATTCATGAAACAGACAGATCCCACCCGCATTCCCCCACCCACCCTTTTTCTATTCACTTTCTTACTTATTATAATTGGAACTTGACCCATCTTCTTCCCCTGGCCTCTTCAACATTATCTTCTCTCTCCCTTTCCTTTGGGAGCCGCGGTGGCTCAGTGAGTTAGACGCTTGCTCGCTAACCTGAAGGTCCAGGGTTCAATCCCGGCATAGGTCGAGATAATACCTTCGGATTTTTCAACCCGGTTTCCCCCTGTCAGTGATGCAGGTAAGAGGGGCTGACATGGAAAAAGCGTCTAGTCGTTCGGATGGGACAATAAACCGAGGCCCCGTGTGCTACAGGCTGTGCACGTTAAAGATCCCTCGACAGTTGGAAATCGAAAAAGAGCAGGCTAATGCCGCTGTCCTGCCATCCCTCATCGCAACCTGCATGGCGTTGCCCGTCTTCATTAGCCCACATGGTGCAGAAAACACACAATTTGGCTTCAGCTGGAACCTAATTACCCTTCCGGTTATTGAATTAGGGTGCCTAATTAAAATGTTTTACTCACCTTATTTTCATAAATTTTCAACTGTGGTTCTTACATATTCATTTCCATACGTAACAAATTGTTGTATTAGTTAAAAACCCAATGTATGACACTCTACAGATTAATTGAACTTAGCTTGAAAACACACAATTTGGCTTCAGCTGGAATCTAATTACCCTTCCGGAAGTGGTGACGAGCAGAAAATAGTCCCCTTGAAAATTGATACTATTTTGAAAAGATATGATGGACCTGTGTTAATTTGACATTTATTTGCAAGATGATTAAAGTAAATTTTATAGCAATAATTAACTTCTATCTTTTGTCAATAATCAATCAAGTTCTCAAAATGGCGAAAGAATATATGGTCAAATGTGCAAGACGAAACGTAAACAAAGTGAAACACTGTCTTGTAAAAATTCAATTTGAGGTAGGAAAGTAAGGTTTTTTCTCGAGGTAATTATATGTGGAGTAAGCGTGAGAAACCATTTTATTATATAAAGTTATTTTCAGTTCATTTCAAATATATCTTGAAAGGTGGGATGTATTTTTATGCCATTTTATTGAGAGGGTCAAACAGCTGACGTCTGCCATTTTGGGTCCGCCATTAGATATGTCTGAAGAAAACGACAGATAGCTGGAATAAGGATGGTTAATATCAGAAAGTAAGATCGAGATATTGTAGTTTTTTGTTCAAAGATATAGTTGCAAAGCTTTTTACTTTGTGTAAGTACTTTATTTTAGATATATTGTGTAGCTAGTAAACCTCTCATTTTGGCTTTTTTGGGACAAAAAAAAAAGAGTTCATTGAGTGCATGTAGTAATTTATAGGTGGGGTACCGCGAAATTATGATCATAACAAGTCATGTCATATTTTGAGTCCACGTATCCAAGGCCCACATCTCCCATTCAAAAAATATATTTTGTCATTTTTGGCATGTGTAAAAAATGGCTGAGGTTTGGAAGTACCTTAACAGAGATGAAGATGTTCGTTTTTCGCATGCATATGATAAACTTATCAACTTGTAATTATTCATATTCATAAATGTATTCAATTTGATAAAATATTTCAACTTTAACCATAGTGAGTTATTTAAAACAATGTAATTTCTATCAATAAAAGACTCCAATACTAGCAATAGTTGTTTATTGTGACTAACTTTGAACTTGCTAATATATGTTATGTTCCATTTGTAGTATTAGACCCTCCCATTTCCATTTGTGACTGGATAATCACGCCTGCTTAGGCAATTGTCAATTGTTCCCTAGAGGGATATTGTGTATTGAGAAAAAAGTGCGTGTTTTTACGAAAATCTGATGTTCGATTATTAAAGTTTGTGAAGCGAATTTGGACTTTTTATGTAGGAAACCCCAGGCTGAAACCCTTTCACATCACATATATAACGGTTCATCAGATGACGAGTTATGGAAATTAACTTGGACAAGCAATCAGCAGATACATGATGACTTCATGCCGTAGTGTTCCGACAACCCCTGAAGAACTGGATCTGAATATAAAGGTAAATTAGTAATTTCTATTTAACATTCAACTTGGGTTATCAGCAAAGCTATTCAGACTTCTAAATCGTAATAGAAGTAGATTATACCAATTTCTGTGATATTTACTGTAATTTTGTTTTTTTATCTTTTGTAGAAAGGAAATTATATATTACAAACCAGATTAAAAGAATTGCAGCAATTGCTAGCTACTCACAAAAGATATAAAAATTGAAATAATGGCAAGAAATTGAAAGAAATAGCCACCTACCTCTCAATAGTTGAAATAATTATAAAAAGTGAAAGAATTGCAGCAATTGGAAACTACTCAAACCAACGATATAAAAATTGAAATAATTGCAAGAAATAGCTACCTACGTTTCAATTGTTACAGGACATCCCTGCCGAACTGACCTAGTAATTTGGAATTTTGTGGTGAAGGCAGTTAACCAAAACTGAGATGAGTTTTCCCAGAACCGGAACTACCGCATATACACATGAGCATTGGGTTATTAGGAAATATTTCTGAATGTTTGAATTTCTTTCTCATTTTTTATTATTTTATTTTATTCCAAAAATAACTCCTTCTCCTTTATACTTCGAAAGATATATTCCTTCTCCAGTGTGTATATTTTATAAAAATATTCCATTACCCTTATGTTTGACTTTGATTTCTCCTGTGTCAATACTATCTACTAATTTATTTAATCCTTGTTTAACAGTTTTCTTGGTTTCTTCCCCAAATCTTTTTCCAAATTCTTTTATTGTGCCTATCATATCTCCCACTCCTGAACTTTTGGCTTCCTTTTCCATTATTAAATTATGTCTGCGTTCTTCAGCGGCTTTACCATCAGCTGCTTTCTTTGCGTTGGCAGCTTTGACTGCGGCAGATATTCCACCAGTTGCTGCACCCGCCGCAGCAATACCACCAAATATTAAAGGTAGTAGGAAAGATTTAATAATCCACCTTCTTTTGCGTTATCGTCAATTCTTTCTAAGTCTATATCGTCTCTGACTTTACAATATTTGTATTTATCAATAAGTTTTTTAGTTATGCTGATTTTTTTACCATTATAAGTTATTACAGTAGGGGAAGCTGTTTCAATAGCTTCTATTATTTTCATAACTAAAGTTTCTGGTTTCATTTTTAAGGGAGTATTTTTTACTCAATTCTTATCATTCTTCTGTCTGCTATTTTTGCGTCTTCGAGTAGTAAACAATAACAGGTCACATCTCCTTGTGTTTTTCAATATGAATATTTATGTTGACTCCTGTTTTGAAAAGATCTTCTTGGTGAGCTGATAGATCAAAACAGAAGATTGGATGATTAAGTGCAAAATCTACATATTCAAACTGAGGTGGATATCCAAATAATTCAGACATGTTTTTATAGTTTCTATGCAATTCATTATAATCCCTTGTGGTTGGATTAATTGTTAAAGTTGGAGATTCGTTATTTCTAATTTTGCATCTGAACCATTCTCTCCAAAAAATATCTTATCATCGTTGATTTCTCTTTGTAGATGAATTTTATATGGTAACCCTATGGAAACCTTTCTGTGTTCCAACAGACCGAATAAAGGATATAATTTCCAATTTACGTAATTACCCCACCTATTATTCTCAACAATATTATTGTACTGAAGTACTCGTTTTTCGAATCCATGATTAGCTGCTCGTGCTACTCTTTCTATTGTGTTTCGAGCAACAACTCTCACTCTAGCTAAATCGGCATCATTTGCAAGATTTCTTACCGGTTCTTTTAAAACACTTCCATCGCCAACATCGGGTATCCAACCTGAGACTGAATCCAAATCTTTAGGATATAAAACTGTTTTCAACATTGTGTCGAATTCCCCAGGGTGTTTAATTGTTTCTATCGGATTTGAACCAGCTTCCAAAATCATCTCGCTAAATAAAGATGGAAAGAAATTGTTTTCTAAAGTTGTATTAGTTTGTGGAACTTGATTCTGAGTTCCAACTTTAATTTTGAAATCGCATCTGAAATAGGCATCGGAAAGAAGCAACCAATTCGATAGTGAATTTATTTCGAAGGTAATTCTACCACCATCATTCAATTGGGATTTAGAACCAACAGTCGGTGAGATAATAATATAATCCTCTTTTTCTTGTTAAATGAGTAACGAATCGGATCGTATAATCTAAAGACTGGATCTAGTATTTTATTTGTGTACATACTGGATGGTCAATTTGTTAAAAAAAAATTTTTGGTAAACCGGTAAATGGTAAAATGGCATAAGGTAATGTACACATACTACTGACTGTTATACCTCAAGTCAAGTCTGTCTGGTTGACAGATTCAATCGCAAACTGGGATAAGGTGTTCCAGAATGTTTAAGGATGTCTCAAAGCGTTTAAGTCAAGTTTAAATCACACCTCAGTAGGTAAAGACATCAGTACGCCAGTAAACACGTCAAAGAACTGGTCTTCGTCACACGTCAATACGTCAAGTACACACGTCAGACTCGTCAAAGAATCTATATTCCTCACAAATCAGTCCGTCAGTAAAAAAAAGTTAATCAAACTATTTGAACTCTCTTAAAACAACTGCCTTAATTGTTGACAGACTCAATCGCAAAATGGCCTCAGGTGTTCCAGAAAGTGTAAGCATGCTTTAAAACGTTTAGGTCGAGTTTTAAACACACCTCAGTAAGTAAACACATCAGTACGTCAGTAAATACGTTAAAGAACTGGTCTTCGTCACACTCTTAAACTACTACATTTTTGAAAGACACAATGGCAAAGTGGCTTCTGGTGTTCCAGAAAGTGTAAATTTGCCTTAAAAACTTTTAGGTCGAGTTTTAAACACACCTAAGTAGGTAACAACTCAAATCCGTCAGTAAACACGTCAAAGAACTGGTCTTCGTCACACGTCAATACGTCAGACGCGTCAAAGAACGGTTACTCCTCACAAGTCAGTCCGTCAGTAAGGAAAAGTTAATCAAACTATGTGAACTCCCTTAAACTACTAAATTTTTGACAGACACAATCGCAAAGTGGCCTCAGGTGTTCCAGAAAGTGTAAGTATGCCTTAAAACGTTTAGGTCGAATTTTAAACACACCCTAATAGGTACAAACTCCAACCGCGTCAAAGAATTGTTATACCCCACGAGTCAGTCAAGAAAAGTTAATAAAACTATATGATCTCTCCCAACACCACTGCATTAATTGTTGACAGGCTCAATCGCAAAGTGGCCACAGGTGTTCCAGAAAGTGTAAGCATGCCTCAATACGTTTAGGTCGACTTTAAAACACGCCTCAGTAGGTAAAAAAAGAACTGTTATCCCTCACAAGTCAGTCCGTCAGGAAAGAAAAGTTAATCAAACTATATGAACTCTTTTAAAATACTACATTTTGACAGAATCATTAAGCTCGAGATTTAAACACACCTTAGTAGGTACAAACTCTAGTCCGTCAGAAAACACGTCAAAGAACTGGTCTTCGTCACACGTCAATACGTCAATTCACACGTCAGACGCGTTAAAGAATTGAAAACACGCCAGACGCGTCAAAGAACTGTTATAATTCACAAGTCAGTCAAGAAAAGTTACTTAAACTATATGATCTCTCTTAAAACAACTTGTAAATGGGGGAAACCACTACATGCCCACATGCCAATACGTCAGTTCACACGTCAGACGCTTCAATATCTGTTGTGCGTCACAAGTCAGTCCGTCAATAAAGAAAAGTTAATCAACTATGCTGTCTTAAAATACTGTCCCTGGTGTTCCAGAAAGTTTAAGTATGCCTTTATACGTTTAGTTTGAGTATCCATCACACTTCAGTAGTAGACCTAGCCAACAAAATTAAATTTTTAAATCATGTTATATTGTAGCATGATTGACGCATTGGCTTTTTTACCTGTTGATCGTGTGAAAGATGGTAGACTTTCTCGATACCACAGTCTTTAAGGGAGATTCCATAGCAGAAACAAATAAACTGGATATTAAAGTGTATTTCAAAGAAACTGATACTCATCAACTCTTGCACAAGAGCTCCTTTCACCCAAAACATACCTTTTCTGGTATAATTAAGTCACAAGTTTTACGATTTCATCGAATTTGTACAAGATCTTCTGATTTCAACCAAGCCTGTACGATTGTTTTCTCAAAACTGAAAGAGCGTGGGTACTCTAAACGATTTTTACGAAACATAAAAAATTCCACCTTAGCACAGATAGCAGCTAAAAACAGACTTGTATGCCGAAGTACCTCCAGGTTTAAGAAGTGCTCCATGTTTGTCCAGTAGATGCAAAACATGTCCCTTTATATCAGAAACTCATTATTTTGTAAGCAACTCTACGAATAAAAGGTACCCGATCCAGGAACATCTAACATGTGAACATTCGAATGTAATATATTTAATTTCATGCAAGAAATGCCCCAAACAATATGTAGGAGAAACTAAGAATAATTTACGAACTCGCTTTAATGCTCATAGGTCAGACATCAAATTAAAGAAAGACAAGCCTGTTTCTAATCATTTCAACCTCGACGACCATTCAATAGACGATCTCACCCTAATCCCAATTGAGCGTATAGAAATTGACTTGCCCGAAGATGAAACTACCAAATTCCGTCAATCTAGGGAGGCCCATTGGATTGAGACATTGAATACAGCAAGACCTATAGGACTAAATATTCATCATAATGTAGGCATAGCACCCTTTGTTGTCCCGTTTAATACAACCAGCAATCGAGCAAGCAAGATAGTTCATGCCCACTATAAGAGCCTTCAAGAGAAATTCCCCCATGTCTATAAGCAGAAAATGATAGTTGCATATTCAAAAAATAAGAACTTAAATGATAATATTGTTCATAGTAAACTAAAAACAATCAGTACATAACAGATACTATACTTTTCGCCCATCGGGCGAGTTATTTTTTCTAATTTCAGATCAGAATAAGAACAGAAGAAAACCCAATATCAAGACCCTTAATCCTAATTTCTAAATAAAGTGTCTGCTCCACCCTAGGCCTGTACATTTGGGAGAATCAAACCCTCCCTTCCCCGAAATTTAAAAAACCTACAATACGTACCTGACTAAGTCACCATATGAAAATTATGACAAAGAATTGTATTAATTCTGGCAAAAAACATTTTGACTTTGAAATGTATTTTTGTAGTTTACTTGTTAAATGTCGTACTTTGGTAGAAGTTAAAAGAAATTTTGGAAAATGGAGCGGTTATTTTTCTCAGCCGATACATCAATCAAACTGTAATGTCACATTCTGAGAGCCTTATTCACAAAATAAACAAAATGGACACTTCCCTTATTGAAGTGAATGACGGTAGTCTGGAGAAAAATGTACTAGCTGATGATGATGAACCTACAAAGGGTAATTATTTTAACGAAGAGGATGAGATCATTAAATAAAAGTCCTCTGAATTAAAAAATGGGGCGTTTGTATTTTATCGAGAGCAAAAACCCCAACGAAAATGTTATAGGTGTGGGGGATACGGGCACACGCCAATGAGTGCCCCACTCTCGACGACGAATGAAGTTATACAATACAACAACCCGAGGGTCAAACGCAAACCCAACCCCAAATGAGCTAAGTAAAACATCAAAAAGGCCCACCCCAGAGACAGAACCAGTAACTCTGAATGGTATGAGGCCCATAGCACAATCTAGGAAGTCATTCTGGAGGCTCTGTCTAAAACAATTAGGGACCTCAATGACATGCCCTTATCCTCGACCCCAGTAAAAATGACAGACTTGCCACCACCACGCCAATGCTTGAAGAAAGTGGGACGAGTCTAGTTATGTCGGATATGGAAACGTCCAAAACCAGTTCTGACTCCGGTAGCACAGCCACCGGATGTCCGACATCTCCAAAGATCTCTTAGAAAGTTTTGTGCAGTTATACAGTGAAGAGTTAAAGAGAACAGATAAAAGTTATGAAATTGAAAACAACACAGAAAAAAGGCGGGGACAGACTTGCCCAGGGCAAATTGAAGTCAGAAGCTATAAAGGTACTGTAAATCTAAACACTACTAACCAACACCCTTTTATATCTCCTTAACATGACACTCAACTTTATATCACTCAATATCAACAGAAACCTTAAAAACAAATACCACACAATCACTACAGCATTCAATAACTACCACATCATCAACTTACAGGAAACATCAGTGGAAAAAAGATCTCAAATGAAGTTACTTCCCTTTTCACTAACTCCATACAATGTAGGGATTTGACGCCCGAGGCCTTCTTGGAGGGGAGATTCTTACAAACTTACGAAGTTATTAACATTTATGGACCCAACTTACACAAAGAAAAAATAGAATATTACAATAAATTACTAGACCACCTCACTAAAACACTAAATCCAACTCAGAACATTATACTCTCAGGAGATTTCAATTTTATTATAGACAAACTGGACTCTAAAAACCCTGAATCAAACTCTATAAACATTGAAATACATAACAAATTTAAAGATGCAATTAATTACCTAAATATTACATCTTCAGACTGCACCATCCAAAAACTAGATCATACACCTACATTAGAAACAATAGTGGATCAAATGACATCTGATCTGAATCATTAACATCTAAAGTCACAGAAATAAAACATTTGCCAAAGTCCGTCGGCGATCACAAGGCTGTCTGTCTAAAATTAAGTTTAAGTAGGAATAGGAGGGGTAAAGGTTACTGGAAGTTAAATACACAAGTTTTAAAGGATGAAAGCTATAAGTAACATATCACATATTTTATTAATCACTGGAAAGAAAACAAAAAAATTAGAATGTCAACTGGGGAGGTGGGAAAATTTAAAAAAAAATCAATGAGATTTCGATCAAACATGGCATACGGATTCATAGGGCTAAAAAGGAAAAATTAAAGGATTTATACCTACTACTGGAACAAAACAACA